GTCTGTTTGGTAGTAATGCTAATAGACTGCACTCTTAACCTGCGCCCGGCCGAGGGGGAGGGACAATGACTTCCACTTTGGGATCCTCAGCTTGCAGACGCCGTGTGAGAAAAATACGGCTACTGTTGTGAAGGTCTCATCACATCATGAAAAATGCGAACCGAATCATTACCTTAAGTCATATGTGGGGTCACCAAAGGGAACGAAAGGTTAAAAATGGTCGTTGTAGTAGATGCAGTTAAAATATATGTGAATAAGGAAAGACGGACATTGAGGGCACGTAAATGAGTGTTAGGACTGTGAGGTGTCCATTTCGACTATTTCTGTACCCCTACAATGATCGGTTCAGATAAGGTCACCGTTAAAAGTTGGTCTGCCAACATTCTTCGCAAACTATGCGTTTTCATAAGGTGCTTGTGAGTAAGTTTAATTTATGAAGTGAAGCTGTGAAACAATAATATTCCAGACGCAGCAACACCATTGCAGTCTGACCTAGAGGTCATCAGAAGCCAACTTAGGTTAAATTAATAGGCCACCAGACCAGAACGTTTAAGTGCTAAACCGAGACCATGTGACCAGTGTAATGCTTTCATACAGTAGGAAATAGTGTGTTGCACATCTACAGGTACTCAATATCGCATAGCTGTTGTCCATATAGTACCGCCAACGCTCGTCATGTATTTGTAACAAGCTGAGAACAGGTCCTTGGTCCATGAAATTATACGTCATCAGCTTTATATACACGACAAGGAGGTGGCTACACGCGTTGCACTCGTCCTTCAAGCCTCTCCACTGCTGACAACATTGTTCATTGACCTTGGATGACCTCTTGTGACCTTGAAATCACTATATGATCTGTCACGTGATCTAATGTAACCCCATTTTGCCTCAAAATGATATCACTACGTTTCATTGGAGTTTTCGAATACTGCGTCCAAAATTACCTCGTAAAACTGTCTATTTTGAGCTCAGAGTTGGTTTTACAGAAGGCTCCCATAATAGCAGGTTATGAACTGGGCCAAGGTCTTATGCTCTGGGGTCATATGATGGTTTTGCAAGTACTCTTGTCCTCATACTCAAACACCAAAATTACACAAAAATACATACACATTAGCATTGTTCGCAAAACATAGCAAACATGAACCTGAATTCAGGTCAATGACGACGTCTGTTTCAAATTTTTTAAACTATACAAAATGTAGGAACCACCATGTTCTATAGCAATGTAACTTTGAACACTGGCAAATGGCCCGCAAAAAAGGTATGCCTGCTCAAAGTTTATAACGGTTGGCCTCCTTCACCTGACTTAAGTCACTAATCTTGGGAGATCAACACTTTTAATTTGAACGCAAGATGCCAACTTCATGCATAAACAGGCACTCAAGCTTTTATGTAGCTGAAGCGTTCGCTTATGACTTGTACTCCAAAAACCGTAGGAAAAGTGAATTTTGGCCGGGCCTGGGTTAGACGGTAGACCAGCAACCCTTCCACGATATTTGTTATATATCGGTACGTGTACTGTTTGTTTACAAACTCAGGAAGTCCATATTTGCTCCGACCCAACCTTTCGGCCGTGCGCACCACCATATCATAATAACAAATTCATCCTTTCTTCGTTTCCGTCTACATTAGGTCGACTTGATATCAGATACAGGTAGAGTCCTCGGGTTATATCAGACGGCCAATGTGGACTTGGGACACTTCGGGCGCGGTGCTGTGATGGCACTGGCGACGATCAGGATTAACACGCGCTCGGGTGGCCGGCTGGATACCCTTCGCTCGGGGGTCATTTCGACCCCACCCCCCATAGATCTCGGAAACTAAAAGAGCTAGAAACACCAAATTCACAGGGTGTGTTGACCTCTACGTGAACGCACTTAGTCCAAATTTTGAGGTTCCTAGGTCATGATCTTCGGGTCAAATAAGGTCAAACAATGTCAAATTTCAGGTTGGTCTCTTAAGTGCCCACAGAACCTATATAACCGTTTCTAAGCAAAAGGTCTCATGTTCATTTAAGGTCAGTGACCTTGTTTGACCTTTTAAAGGTCATAGTGGCAACAATCCTACAAGACTGCTCTGAGTTTTGCACTTGAATAAGCGACAAAGATAACGTTAGAGAGCATGTTTTTAAAAACAAATTTTGACTTCGCTCATTTTAGGTCAATGACCTATTCTGACCTCTGAGAAGTCCATGGAAGATGTGTAAGGCGTTTCCTGCTATCAATAAATTTGGAATGAGTACCAGCAACTCTCCCATACAGCAAGCCCTAAAACAATAAAACAGGTTGGGTTTGACGTTGGTTTGACCTTCATACCTGACCTTAGGTCAACTTAATTTGCTCATTCAATATTTGTGTTGCCTAAGAAAACATCTCATAGACGTGTGGCTTCGTCTAACACTCCGTTGTCGCATCAGAATAACCGATTTCCTAGAAATTGACTTCGCTGAAACCATAGGTCAGCGACCTTACAAGGCGCATCTAAATGTTTTACGTCAAACCCACTGTTCAACACAACAACTGCCAGTTGAGACTATCGACGCACGTAGCTGCTGAGGCCATATGGCAGCCCTTGCCTCCCACCCTGGCAGGAAGGGCGGCCACGGCGGGGTGGAAACCCGCTCCTCTGGCCCCTCAGACGCGCGGCTTAACTGCTGCGCTATCGCACCCCAAACACAACCAACAGTCCATCTCAGTTATCAATGTGTCCAGAGCAAGCTTATGCAGTCAACAGCTGCCAGCTTAATGCGCTAGCAACGCCTCCAAAAAGCCGTGAACACTAACACGGTACTAAAGCAATGCGGTTTGCAACGACTAAAAATGGTTTCCTTTTGTTTAAATGGGATTTATGCGCGCCAACAGAAATATACCATCTCATTTCTTCCAGTCGTTTTGCCACTTGGCACTTCTACGGCCAAGCGTTTTGTGTGGTGTAAATTTCTGTAAGTTAATTTCTGCAATTGGATTTACTTCCAAGTGAACCCGTTTTCAATGCATCATATACTGCATATCCAGCACCCCACGTGAGTCCGGTATGTCACCACCCATGTATGTCACCTCGTCCGGTATGTCACCACTCATGCCGGCACGTACCGCATAAACTTTTGCCACGTATTTCCGGCAGTCGAGGCACGTGGCAGCGGCCCGTTCCACTCGGACCTCTCTCCAGAGGTGCGTTCTGCGATCCGTCGCCCACTCAGCAGAACCGCGCACCCATCAAATATTTACACGCCCATGCTAAGCGGGCTCAATCTAAATTAAAGCATTAACGATCCAATGCGGCGAGGATGATCCCCGGGGGACATAAATCGTGAATTGGCTGCCGCTGTGAGTCTCTAGGGAGTGGCACGACCAGCGGCTGGTGAAGACGCCCGGCCAAGGCGCCAAGCCCGGCTGGTGGATCACTCCAATGTGTGGAGAAGTCCGAGTCTCGCCGAGGAGCCCCACGGCCCAGTTAGTGAGGGTGGGGAGCGACATCCATGCCTAACTCCGCCAGGAACTGCAGTGGGGATTTCTATTCAGTTGAGCGGGCTTCCTCCGCGCACGCAACTTTGAGACAGGACGTAAGTCAGATTTGGGGATAATTTTTTGGCATTTGTGTATGGTTCCCCATGCGTCTGTCCCCAGACATGGTATTTTTGGCGAAACTAGCCCGCTGCAGGAGGGGAAGCTAATCTCGGCGTCGGTTATAAAATTAAATATTTGTCCTGAAGACAAAAAAACTAAAAATGTTGACAAGATCTGTCCCTCAAGGCAATCTATGAGCGGACTTAAGGCTACCAAAGGCAATATAGGTCAATAAACGCATGTCAGTTTCGGGGAAAGATTGGTCCATAACAAAACTGGAGGCCCTTGGACATGATGCAACGTGCCATGGATCTCAACTTTGTAGAGTAAATCGTCAACGGAGAACATGCCGGTGATCTGGAGAGTACTCTCTTAAGAGAATGTTAAAAGTAAGAACCTCTCATGAAAGATGAGGCAAGGCAAAAATAAGAGACGAGGCAGAAATAGATTTGCAGGCAACACACGTAAGAAGAGCATGCCGATATAACTAACTAATTGGAAAGAGAAACAGAAATAGGGACGAAAAGAGAGATATAGAGAGAAAGGGGAGAGAGAAAGAGAGAAAGAGAGAGAGAGAAAGAGAGAGAGAGAGGGAGAGAGAGAGAGAGACGTGATAGGGCGTCATTCCTAATGGAAAACCGCTCGTAAATATATTTCTCAAAGGGAGGGAGCCTCTGTCGCGAGACTTCAAGAACGAGCAAACGGGATAAGTGGGGATAATGAGGAAACTGTGGGTTCAAGAGGTCCAGATGTGTCGCATCGGTCCACTTCGAATAAAATCATTCCCTGATCACACGTTGGAGAGAGCGACCACTCATTGCCCAAAAGGTCTGTCACAGTCGATTATGGAGCGATGAGCCTATCGACAGTCACCAAGTCGTCGCCACAACCAGTCCATATCTCAGAGCAAAAGATTACCAACGTCATAATTTATGACCCCACTGCGGTGCCATCAAGTTCAGGGCGTGATTTGCCCTCGATGCGCAGGTATGGAGAACACTGTGTAGAAGAACTGGGATCAGGGCTGCTGGGAATTGCGTTGGGGTGCTTTGCTTTGGATGCGTCCGCAATAAACAGGTGTAGATCATAGTCGTGGAATTTCTTGGCGCAGACCATGATCAACGTCAGGAGGAGGCCCTCTTGCACGATTAAATGGGGGTAAAATTTTCCTAAACACTTTGCTAGCACTTTTCCACATGTTTCGAGCGCACGGACATTGTGCTACATTGATCTCAGGTTTGCAGCGAGATGCTGCCATGCAAGGGCTTAACGAAGCAAAGTTGACGATAAGTGAGGAAGCAAGCGCCAGAAATGAAAAGAAAAGAGCAAGTGAGCGAACGTTTTCTGAATATCTATACCGTGACAAGCTCAGCGTATATTCTCAAACACAGACATCCAAGCGACAATGGAGGATACAGAATGAGTGCACATCACCTTGAGTGTTTGCAGCTGTTCTTGGTAGTCGTTGATGTCGAATGTCGCTGTTGCCAGCAACGTGATGTTATTGTTTTCCAGTTCGGTGACCAAGTCGTTGATCGCCTGGAAGCGGTACATCAGGTAATAAGGGGAACGTTCTTTGGTGCGGACAGAGCAATTTTCATAAAAATGCGCTTCTCTTGGACTTCCACCACCTTGATCAACTGGCTCGTGGTACTATCTCAGTGATGCACCACAATGTTTGTAATGCTTACAACAGCGTGCATTTTGATTAATTCGACACCATATCGCGTGAACTTCTATGCACCCTAAGCGCGTGAACCATAACCGTAATACATCTATCAACAAACCGACCTCAAATAAACTTGACTAGACCACAAGCATTGTGACAGTTTATTCCTTGAAACCGCCCATTCAATCGAATGTTGTTTATCGCATCTTAGCATCTCCATCCAGTACCGAGACATACGGAGTTACCGTCCCCATCACCATCAAGCGAAATGGGAATTTTAAAAGCACCGTAATTTCCGTTACATTTTTATCAGTTCACTAACGTCAAACTTTTATCGATTCGGATCATCTGGCGATAACTTTTAAATCGTCAAAGACAGGCCTGCGGCGTGACCCCTCCAAAACGCCCGAGGCAACAACTTTTTGGCCGCTCGGAGAAGGATATGATTCGCACAAGCATCTTTGCGGCATGAGACTATCTCAAACGTACTTGTAAGATTTTGAAGACTTTAGAGTGTAACGCCTTCATGGAGTTGTGAAATGCCCCAGTTGTGCTGCGTAAATTGTGAGGCATTGGCATGTAAGCCGTCTGATGAGACGGATTCTGCATGCCACATTGCTACATCTCTTGGAATTCCTCCCCCCCCCCCCCCGTCTAACATGGCGTAAGAAAACAATTCTAAAAAAAAACAAAAAGCTTAAGACCACAGGTTCAAATCAGATCTAGGTTTGGATGAACCAGCGCGCAACAAAACGACACCAATATATCTGAGGGAGGAAAAAACGAACAATGGTGCAGACAAAAATGTGAGTTGGTGTGTGCAGAGGGTCAGCCGTTCCCGTGCGCAAACCATTCGGACCCATGAAATCCATCCAATTTGGATGGGTTTAGAGCTTGTGCCATACTTCAGCGATCAGAGTAGGTGAAGACATGAAACCAACTTCATGGTGTAGATGAATGCGCCAACTACAGCACGCTGATGGTGGTCAAAACTGTTCAGCTTTGGGACCAAGCCCGGTTGTAGGACCGGTTTTGAGACAAGTCTCGAACATAAGACGCTGTGACTTAAGCCAAAAGTTGGCCCATGGAAGGGCCCAAGTTGCGCCATACAAAATACATCGGACAGTAGTCCTGCTTATTGTGACCAACACATGCCAAAATGTTTGTTCGCGATGCCTTGGTAGCAATGCCGAAGGCTAAACGCTATAACAGATCCATTGATGTTAATTAAAGTAGGCGGGAATGAGCAGATTCACAGACAGTGATTTTTCCAGAACTTGTGTTTTTTTTTGTTTTTTTAGCAAAGAAGACCTTAAGTATGTTGGGGGCAAGTGGCAGCATCCATTGTTGTTTTTTTTCCATTCCTAAGACATATCGTGTCGGGTTGAGCGGTCTTTTCTACATACATGCATACCAATACCTATAGGTGAGCTTATTTCCTCATATGTGGTGCTGGCTTTCGAATGCATGTGTAAAATTTCTTTTAACAGCATGTCAATGGTTGCCATTGAGCTTTATCCATTATATATGATGCTGACCTCAATAACTTCCAACGTGGAACATCCTTTCTAAGCTTCTGAGTGAATCGCTTTGTGTAACTTTGTTATTTAAATACTTTAATGCTTTGTTAATTACCCGGTATCACACACACAAAAGCGCACCATCAAGCTGCAATATTTTTGCACCGGTCAGAGATGAGGAAGGTCAAGGTAATATGTATGCTGAATGTGATCAAATCGTGTCCTTGTTATGCAATTAGCATGAATAAGAACATGTCCGTGCTGCTTCCATTTTGTTGTTTTAGGTTTTGGAGCAGCCTCAATGGTGATAAAGGAATGATAGACGATCAGATATTGTGGAACTTTTCAAGAAGCAGTGATGTGAGCAATTCAACTCCAACCTAAAGACTTCTGCCAAAATGTGCCCTGGTTTCTTCCGCGTAAAGGGAATGCACCTTATTTGAACCTATTGAGACAAACATCAGATATGACACAAAAAACTCGCTTTAACTATTGGTGCACTTTTGAATGCAACGATTGTTCAAAAGCAAAACCCTTTCTCCATTTAAGTCGACGAGCTCCTCAATGCGTCGTTGCCTGATTGCGTCGAGTAACGTTTGTATAACGATCAGGTGCTGCCAAACTATCCGTGCGAAATCGCCATCCAGGCACTTCACATACTTGGTTATGGTGCCATTCTTGAGTTATTCTATTAGCAACCATGTTCGACTTCTCATCTTATGTAGCGGCCAAGTGTCGGTCACGTTTTGTGCGAAAACGTGATCGACACGCGGCCCTTTCTCGTAATGTTCTTGCATATTTGTCCGTGAGTTTAAAAAGTTACTTGTATTCACATACTCGGTGTTATGGCGCTACTCTGGAGTTATGCTATCACAAGTCTTACTTAGCACCTTAGTAGCCAGTAATAATGTCTTACTTCTTATATCATGTGGCATAAAACGTGACTTGTGCTTGCAATTTGCACAGGCTGCTCAGCAATAATTGAGAGCCAATTGACGTTCACCATATATGGATATCGTGCTCGCAGACACCGGATCTGAACGGCTTGAGCACATGTACTCCTTGCACTTGAACGCCGCATGACAAATGCAATGACAAGATTGGACTGACGTTGTTGTGGCGTTATGGATGCCTGGGTGACCTTGAAATACTCTCTCCGAAATAGTCTGCACATCTCCGCGAGTGCGTAGTTCACAATCTAGAAGGGTTTCGGCCTTAGAAAGGCCAGGGCTATGAACTGTAACGAATTATCTTCAAGATAACCATTTCAGCTCAAAACCCCATACAAATGTGGGAAATTCCCTTTAAGTCATCCAATTTCCAGTCTCATGTCGGAAATGGCAGGAAGCACTTCCCGAATCCCTGTACTGTGTACAAAAGCACAGTTCATTTTCGAAATGTGCATTTCACGTTTAAGCTGGTTGAAAGCCAACTGCGGTCCGTTCATGCGACTATCCGTGCTGACGTCCTCCAGACACGAATATCTCAAAAGCCATATTTGGCTTGACTCTGGGCACAATGCGATTATTGAGGAGGCGGAATTAGTGTGGCGCTTCTCTGTCGTCATACATCGCTGGGTGACGTCAAATTGGGCGGCGCAAAGTGCTTTGCACAAGTTTGCAAGCTTCTTTCTCAGAAACGCGAGAATTTGAAGTCCAAAACAGATAATTGCGAGATGCGGATAATTATCTTGAAAGTGGCAATCTCAGTTTAAACACGTAAATGTGGAAGACTCCCTTCGAGTAAAAATAACTTAATGAATTGCTTGTCAAAATATATCTTTGCTATGTGGCTGCAAATGAATTACGCAAAAGAGCGATGAAAGCCGCGATGTAGCGACCCAATGATGCTCAAGCAACGACATAAAAATGTATGTGCACAAAATAAAAGCGTATATAACGCTGACTACAGACTTCATCAGTGGAGAACAAAGTCAAGGCGAGTTGACTTAAACGGGCACCATGGGTGCGCTTGGCGTGGAGCGCAAATGATGCTGATGAAAAATACGCTGCTAGAGGTATTGGCCACGTACGGCGATGCGGAGCGGTGGCTCACGGTGATCATTAGCATAATTGATGCGCTTACTTATTACTTACCTACGGTGTCTTAATCAACATCACCATCTGGCCTCTCATCATCCATAATGCAATTATGGCTTGACATCCAGCCCATAAACCGGTAACAAAGCAAATTATAGTGACGTTGCGTGCTCGTCGCGACGCCAAAATGAGCTGTTATTCAGCTGGCAGCGAATATCAACCCTAAAACACGTCTGTGCGTGCGCCGCATCCATTCGGTTTCGTGGATGAAGCCGTCCGCCCCCAGGGGCCACTATATCGTCCCCATCTCTGACAAACAGTTCCTTTCGCAGTCCCATACGGAAACTACCAAAATTACGTTTACGTTATGCTACGCACGCTTCAAGCATAAACTAGGGGTGTTCTTAGGCTGGCGGGATTCGCAAGTTTCGTGGAGCAACTGACACACTTGAAAACAGAAAGTGAACGTGATCATGCAAACGAAATATCTCTCATTGTGGAAAATGTTCACCACCGTTTCGGTATGGCAAAAACTGATAATTCCATAACCACACAAAGCAAACCATTAACATCACATACTGCAACCTACACATCCTGCATAGCAAATCACACTACTGCAAGTCTCTACGCCAATTTTTGGACCGCTGATGGCGGTAAGGGTTTCTTGCTACATCAAGAAGAGCTCCTTTATCGGTTGGGGCCGACTGCCCGGGTCAGAGGGCCTCCCGCATCAGGGAAGGGACAGATGTATGATGGATGTCTGTAAGGGCCCCCGAAACGATCAACGAACCCTCCCCCGGCGTCGCCGGAATGGCAGCCGGTATACATCCTGCGCTGGGACCGAATGTCCCTTCAGCTCTCGTTTGGGAACGATACCGTACCCCTTGCCTGAAAAGGGTGAGAGTTTTCATGAGCGTCGAGAAGTGTGGATCCAAATGGGGTCACAATTAAGAAAAGGCCGGGCCACGTTTGCCTGAAAACATCCATCCCTTCACAGAATTGACGTGCGAAACAAATTACATACATTATTGGCCTGTTCACGAGCAATCTTAGGAGCAAAATAGCTGTGACCGGGGTCAAAGTTTCCGCAAATTGAACGGCATCGGCCACTGCAGATGTAGATGGTGGGACACCAGGCGCAGGCGGCGGGACATCAGGAGGCGGGTGGCGACCGCGTGAGAGCGAGCGTCGTGAGAAAATGTCTCTGAAAGTTTTTCAGAATAAATTCGTACCGCTGAGACATTAGACGGGTTATATTTGAGCTTTGTCATGTTGCGGCTGGCTGGACAGATAACAGCTGCAGCTAAATAT